GGGGGGGGGGCTATAGAATTTATTTTGTGATATCCTCACTTGCTTTTCAGTTTTGATTTTTTTTATCAATTTTCGTAGTTTCATTGAAGTAATCGTTAGTTCACGTTTTTCGGAGGCGGTCTTGAACGCCTCTCGAGTTGAACTGAAGAAGAACAGGCACGGAGACAGACAAAGACGTACCTGCATTTGTTGAGTCTGTTTAAAAAAAAAAAAAAAAAACACCACAGCTCTCCTTTTTTCGGAGCCGCAACAAAAACTTATTTAATAAAGCAGCGACACAGTTCACTGAACCAACAGCAAGTTATAACATTGTAAGCATGTCTCCAGCCAGGAGCCATCCTGGGGTCGACATATTACCGTAATGACCATACACAAGACGCACCGGATTTTAAGGCACCCGGTGAGCTTTTAAGAAAATAGAAGACTTTTTGTTGCGCCCTACAGTGCGGAAAATACGGTACATCAATTTTGGCCAGTACTACTGACCACAAGGCTCGGAATAAGCTGTCTCCCATTGCAGTTTGCTTCTTAAGCAATCTATCGTATCATTTTGAAAAAAAATATTTTTACATTTTATTTCTCAGTATTTATCTTTGTAAGTTCAGTCTACCCCCATGCCACCATGATTAAAAGATATGGATGACTTAACTCATTCACTGCCCATGACAAACATTTCATCAAATTTGTCACACCCTCTGCCTTTGACGAATGAATCTGGGCGGGGATGTTCTGATTGACTGTCTTTCTTCTTTTGTATACCTGGGTGGGTCGATCAATGCTGTTTTTAAACTTAAAAATTTTAAATTATGAACAAACAAACAAAAAAGGACATCCATGAAATACCAGTACCAGTAACAATGGTTATTGTTTGGGACTGCATTTGAACAGTAAGTTTATGGAAAGGATTGCCTTTTAGAAAATGTTGCATGAAAGTCGAAAATACGCTCACAAAGATTAAACATGAACATGAACCTTAAAAAAAGCGTCTGTGTTTACCTGAAGTTGCATGAAAAGATGTGACAGCACAAATAATTTATTTGTCTTCTGAAGAATGGTTTTACTTCAAGTGATGCTTGACAAAAGGCGTGATTTCTTCCAGGTATCTCATTGACAAGCCATAATTGCCCTCTAATAAAATAGTAAATAAGAGTCTACTAAGGCAAGAGCAGCAAACAACCGATGTGTTCAAACCTGTCTGTGTCCGCTGTCCAGATCATCCAGGATCGGCTGCTTCAGCACAACGCGAGGAGTAACCTCATGTGGAACAGTCTGCCTGGAGGTCTTTTCGCCTTGCCCCAGTACTCCACATATCTTGGAGACTTCCCCTTCTACTATGCAAAACTTGGTGTGTAAATTTTTGATACACAGATGTATAAATCACATGAGTGCACAACACTTGAACAGCTGTTGTGGGGCAGCTATTGAATTTGGGTGGGGGAATTGGTTTATGTACTGTACTTTTGAATAATTCAACTTCAGCAATTAGGCCAGGCCGATTACATGTGTGCTTTGGTAATTGACCAATTAGGCATATTGCTCACCTCCAAATTCAATTCACTAGCACGTCTTTTATAAGCAAGACTAATGAGTGCTGTGACAAGGAGATTAAGTCATAATGGTCTGCAATTAAACAAGTGCTTTTTTTGTGTTCTCGCATTTGTTCAGAACGGAATATGCACACACACTTATTTTGCTGTGCTTGTAATTTGCTCGCTGACTTTCTCCCCTCGGCTGCATCTTTGCTGTTTTCCAGGTATCACGATATACCCCAAGTTTACAGCTGTCATTCACGTAGTGACCCCACTGGTCTCGCAGTCCCAGCCAATCATGAAGCTGCTCGCAGCTCTTGCCAAATCACAGTACTGTGCACAGGTGAGGCAAACCAATTCAAGGTGATCAGTTTATCATTCATTCATCAGACAATACTGGAGGTTTAAAAAAACACTTGTCAATATTTGTTACAAGAACCTAAATGACAAAACGGATGACTTGTTTTCCCATTTCCCTGTGTGTGTGCGCAAATGGAAAATGGAAGCAACAGGAAATGGGCGATTTGGATGTTTCATGTACATCGGATCATGTCATCTGCCTAACTTTACGTGACCCGGAAGTAAATTTGAAAAAGATGAGGGCTTTCACCTGACTCGCAGGAACTTCTTTTGAGACGCAAGCATGAGCAAACTTTAAAATTTTATCACTTGCTGCGTTTTTAAGCAATTTTCATGCAATTTGTTTTGTGGCCACAAAAAAAAAAAAAATCAGTCTGCGTTGAAAATCATCTGAAGTCTCAATGTTTGGTCTATCGGCATGAGCAATGTCTGGAGGCTTTTCTGACAAAGTTTTAATACCTTCAACAGGCTCGATGCAGTTCATTAAAATGTGTAAAATAAGGAATTTGTTGTTGCCACTAGGTGGAGCAATGATATTGTCATATGGCTGTTTTCGGGCTGTGACTATTTTCGAATGTCTCGGTTATCTTACAGTTCGGTTTTCGAACAAAAATTTTGATTTTTTTATGACTCGGATGACGAACAAATTTCGGTTCTCGAACTAACTGAGCGCACTTGAATGCGTCACTTCACTCCTCTCGGCTTCGCTTCCTGTGTAGCGTCCATGGTGAGCAGACGTTTTTGTATTGTTCAATAAAGATTTTTTTTTTAAAAAGCAGACGTGTTTGGTGAGACGCTTCTGTTAGGGGGAGTGAAACCCTGCTCTTTTCAGAATGGTTTGCCCCAGCAGCACGGGTGAAGTGTGTGAGTGTGTTTACGGGCCAGCAGTTTTCAATGCAGCGGCACATAATCAACACTCTGGTGTCCTGTAGCGTCCATTGTGAGCAGACGAGGTTGTATTGTTCAATGAAGATTAAAAAACACAAAAGCAGACGTGTTTGGTGAGATGCTTCTGTTAGGGGGAGTGAAACCCCCCTCTTTTCAGAATGGTTTGCCCCAGCAGCACGGGTGAAGTGCATGAGTTTGTTTACGGCCGGCAGTTTTCAATACAGCGGCACATAATCAACACTCTGGTGTCTCATTATTATGCAATAATCATACAGAAGCAGCTTCCTCGTGTAGCGTCCATTGTGAGCAAACGAGTTTGTATTATTCAATAAAGATTTTTTTTTTTTAAAAAGCAGACGTGTTTGGTGAGAACTACGTAATATCGGACTGTTATTTTTGCATCGTGTATCAGCCCCTAATCATGGCACCAAAGAAAGCAAGTGGAAGAAAGCAAATTGAAGAAAGATTTGATCGCGAAATATGAGTCAGGTATGCGTGTCTGTGTTGGCGAAGGAGTTCGGGATGCCGAAATGCCCCGCCTACTACCTGATGACAGCTGGGATAGGCGCACGCCCCACGACAGATAGAGAGAGAGGTTCCTTCAATTTTTATGTTACTATGTTAATGTTAAAATTGGTGGAAATAAAACATATTACAGTTTGTTTGTTCAGTATTTTACATATTACCTGCTCTCCTATTACATTTGTACAGTTTATGGTGTGAAATTGTAAAAAAAGTGGTTTAAAAAAAGTTGTTTTCTTGACTTGGAACGGATCAAACATTTTTACATTGATTCCAATGGGAAACATGGTTTCGGTTTTCGAACAGTCTTCTGGAACAGATTAAGTACGAAAACCGAGGTTTGACTGTACATGTGAAATTTGTGATATTTGGGAATGTGCCAAGGAGTTAACCATTTCCTCTTTTGTGGTGAAGGGAAATATAGGCAATAAATGCAAAATTTGATACCCAGCCCTTGTCCTATAGTATTTCGAAATGATTTTATTCAGATTCAGATTCAGAAAACTTTATTTATCCCCGTGGGGCAATTAGAGTATGACCCCTTTAAATGTGCAACATAGAACAAAGAATTTGTGAAAAAGAGTGAAGTCAACCAAGTAGTCCTGCCTTTTCATAAAACAGCGCAATCATCAGACTTGGTGCATCATAAACCTTTGGAATCAAAATTCAATTCTACGATTGGTTCTGAAAGAAACTAACATTGCAATTCAAAGTTGTGACTCTTCTACTACTTAATTTAGATTATGCAAAACTGAAAAACTAATGAGACACATTTACAATATTTTGTAGGGTTCTACTCAGATTGAAAACATATGAAGTCTCATATTTTAATTGTTCTGTGGCACACAATGACATTTCCAGTTCTTGTGGGTGGCCTTTTTGGTGTCACGGTCCCTGGAATGTTTCGATTGCACGGGAGCAGTCCCGCTCCCCCACCTTGGAAACAAACCAAAGTCCCTCGGTTGAGATGACATAAGCAGTCGCCTTGTGTTTTGTCAACTGTTGAATCTGGGAGAGTGTTAATAATCGTGACACCGGTTTCAAAATTAAGTTGTGCTTTTTCATGTCTGCAAAATTGCTACACTAAACAAAGATTTTCGAGAGTGTGTACTTTATCAAACTCTATTTTACTTCACCAGTCTTTCTTCTGTGCAGGTGATACTTGTGTGGAACTGTGACAAACCTTTTCCTGCCAAGCACCGCTGGCCTGTCACCTCAGTTCCTGTCTTTGTCATAGAGGGTGAAAGTCAGGTAAACCCACATCCAAATCCTGCCCTCCTTAGATGTGATTATTGCAGTATTTACATTGTGTCTGTCGAGGCAGAGCCCCCCCCCCCCTTTTCCTCCGCTCCCCGTCCCTGCCCCCACATGTCTGTAGGCTCGGGCGATGGAGATGGGGGAGGGGGGGAGTTGTGGACGGTCGAGTGAACCCCCCCAGGCTGAGTTCTTTGAGCCAGCCAGATGGCACGCTCGGCATCGGGATGAGTGGGCACTGCCAACGCTGGCGAGGTGTCGCTTAGCAGCTACGACTGATGGAAAGCGAGCCACTGGATAGGGAAGCAAGCCTATCAGATATGTCAAGGAGATGATTATCTTTGCAAGAAAGAGTTTCATCCAGTGGACACTTCGTTAACACACTTGTGCATTCTATAGGGTATTCCCCGCCCTCAAAAATGTCACTGGTGAATCTCAGTCAATTGTTGAGATAAACACGGAACTAGTTTAATGTTAAACTTTGGTTCAAGTTGAAGGTGAATGTCAAGCAGGAGCGTGCGGCGGGCATTTTCAAGGACATTCAAAATATGCCAACTTTGAAGCAGATTTAAAAGAGAAAATTGCATGTTTTGTGAAATTGGGTGGAATCACTTGAAAATGTTAAATCTGCTCAAATAGGTTTCTGGAATTTTTCAATTTGTACTTTTTTTCCAACATGATGACTATTTCATTGTGTTTCCTAGCACATGTACAAAGTATTTTCTCAAATGTAACGTCACCTTCCTAAATTAATCGCCTAAGTCATTCCCCCCCCCATTTTGGCAGAAAACAAAAAACTGAACCAAATACTGTTTATATTGTATTTCTTAATAATTTCATATCAGCGCGAGATTGAATGAACTGTTTAATTTAAACATTGAGATTATTTTCGCAAAAGGTGGCCAGCCAGCACCCCCCCCCCCCAAAAAAAAACCTTTCGTCACAATGTGACTGAGGCCAATATTTCAGGAAGGTGACAATATTCAAAGTGATTATATTTTTGGAGAACAATTTGTGAGAAACAAAAAATTATGTGGAAAAAGTTCGGTTTGATTCAGTGCAGTTCTACTCCATTGCAATATACCTGTAGAATTATAAACATTATTCAACAATTAGTACCCCTTCGATGGTGTTAATAAAATCTTAATACTACAGCGAACCTCAGAGTCTCCAGAATCTGCCAGATCCAGACTTAAAAAAAAAAAAGGCTGGGTTTTTTGTTTTGTTGACTTGTCCCTCACACTTAAAACACACCGTTTAATGTATTTGAATCCATAAAAAATAAAATAAGGTGCATAAAATGCGTTCGGTATGTGACTGTACAAGGCGTGGCTGGGTGGGGGTGGCGTGTGCTGTGAACGAGTCTGCGTGTGAGTGCCTGAGCATGAGCTGTGGCCAACAGCAGCTTCTGTGAAGGCTGGTGTGATCATTGATTTTGTGCTTTACGGTTCAACTCGTGTTCATTAAATGCCTGAAACGTACATCAGCAAATGTGTCTCTCCTTTCCCTCATGCAAGGTCATTGAACTTCATCAGTATACTGTAAAAACCCACAAAGGAGATGGCAATACTATGCACATTTCAACCATATAGCGGATAATTCTGCGACAACCATGTTCCACAAAAATATAAAAAAAAATCCTGAATGATGAGCGGAAATATAGCGGATGAAACCACATGATTTAATTACAATTTGGCACTATACGGCTCCACTAAAAAAAGTGCAATTTTACACAAACACTAGTCGCAGTTCTCAGGGTCTGACGCACTGTTTGTGAGTTTTTCCACTGTGGTGCTCTCTGCACGCCACCGCCCCATCGCCAGGGGTGAGGCAGAGGTGCACAGGACGGGGGTGAGGGTGAAAGCGTGGGAGAGAGAGAGAGAGCCAAGCCAGGCTTCATTCCCACAGCCGAGACCATCCGCAACAAAGACGTGCGCGCGGGGAGGGGGGCGGTGGGGGGGCCCAGAGGGCGGACCCGTGAGCGCACACATATATGAACAAACACACGTATGAATAGACACACACACACGACAGGGCCCCAAGCCACACCCGCAAGATAGATATGTGATATTTGCACAAGGGGAAACTAATTTATGCCTTCGTCCAATGACAGTTGAGCCATAAACCACAATAACATTACGTACCATAAAATGTCTGTTTGTTTTTGGTGCTTTATGACCGAAGCTCATCATTGAAACACACGCACACAAAAAAAAAAAAAAAGCCTCAAGACACAGCTTATTACGCACCGCTGTAACCTTTGGAAAGACGCACACAAAGGGCATGGGCCATAATGAATATAAAATTCGACAGTTGTGGTAGATTCTCCTGTTCAGGCATTCTATTAGCTAGAGATAAGGTCACTGAAACGCAGGGTTGGACACCGAGAATCGAGTGGAATATTCCGGTTCTTCCTCACACCGCGCCGGACGCAAACAAAGAAGAGCAGGTGGGAAGCGTGTGCGAGCATCAAGATCGTGGGTTGCGGTAATTGGCTTGAAATTCGGAATTTCGTAGGAACTGGAATCGAATCGCGGAACCATCGTGGGTTGCGGTAATTGGCTTGAAATTCGGAATTGGTAGGAAAAGGAATCAAATCGCGGAACCGGAATTGGGACTGGAATTGTCCAAATTCACACGATGCCCAACATCACGGTCAATACATTGAGGCGAAGGTTTTAGACGTTCCTTTTAAGACCCTACAATCGGTTAGGACGAGTGTTGCCGCAGTTACTGAAAAAGAAAGTAACTTAGCAGTAACTTCACAGTAGTTACTGTAGTGATCACTTGACATTCAAGTTACTTTACTGATTAAGCAACTTGATTTTAAAGGAAAAACCTGGACAGGAAGCAGGGCATCAATGAGATGATCCAGATTGCGGGTCCTCCCAACTGGGCATTCCCCTTCTGATACAACGATCGCAAATTCTGGGGAGGAGCAACTTCAGAATGCGTTTGCAACCGCTGTTGAAAAACTTGAACAACGACCACCACGGCAGAGTGAATTTGTTGTACCTCTTTTCTTGTGGGGCCGATGCCCTACGCAGGATAGGTGCTTCGTTCTAATCATCGCAGTCCCTCAATCTTATCGACAGTCTCTCTCTATCCTCTGTCCTCCCAACTTGACATCCTCCTGCGGACACCATATGTCAAGGAAATGAATATGGGTCGACTTGGGTGAACACTGATAACAACACAGAGACTCTCGGGTCCTCCTAACCGAGACTCCCACCTCCAATACCATTTGTCATGGAGCTCTGAGGATAAGCACCTTCATTCCGGATTTGAGGCCAGGTTCATCAGGTTGAAAAACATGTATGATGACCACAATATTTCGATCTTTGGCATCTGGGCAAGATTTGCACAGGTGCCGCATTGCAATCCGTTCAGTCCTTCGGGTACTCCTGACTGGGCATGCCGTGTCTGCGACCGTTTGTCACACAACGCTGAGGAGTTACTTCTTCAAGCCAGATGATTATATTTGGTGACATAGAGGAGAGAAGGGTGAGGACAGCAGACAATTCATTTAAAAAGTCACGGTGGGGCTTGGGGGAGCGATAAACTGTGGCAATAATCGTGGGAGTGGATCCAGATATTTGACAGGCGAGGCATTCAAAGGAGGAAAGTGGAGGGAGGGAAACCGGAAGTACTTTCCACTTCTCGCGGTAAAGTATCGCGAGACCTCCTCCGCGACCGAAGTCGCGGGGTTTGGAAATGTAAACGAAACCCTGGGGAATGGAATCGTTCAGCTGAGAGAAGTCCCCGGGAGTTTGCCAGGTTTCAGTCAAGCAGAGGATGTCGAGCTTACGGTCCGTGAGGATATCTTGAATGAGATTACCCTTCCCAGTAAGCGAACGGATGTTGAGGAGCCCGAAGTTGACGGCGGCAGTCTCGCTACTGCGAGGACTGTTAGCCGACCTAGCCAAGCCGGCTAACACCCGATGGTCAATGGACCGGCCGGCGTTTCTGGATGGCCGACGGGAAGATGACCAGAAGGAGGTGATGCTGTTGGATCGGTTGAGGCAGAAACCCCGACGAGACCCACGGTGAATGTATTTCCGGGAGGGAAAACGAGCGATGTCCGGGAGCAGGTGTAGAGCAGGGGGAGGGCCCAGCCAGTGGAAGCGGAGCCTGAGGAGCTCAGCCGCCGAATACTGGAGCAGACCCTCGCCAGGTCGATGGAGGAGCGACAGGGTGATTGATGAATCTACAAACAAATGCACTACTTAGCATTATTTCAGCACTCCTCTATCATGCTGCAGCCGTTCACATTTTGACATCATGAGACCAAGCTGAAATTATTTTTCAAAATCATCCACCCCTGGATGAAACACTTGCTGTTCAATGAGAGAACATCAAGTTTTGCTAAAACCACTTAAACGCTGACCTGCTGTCATACATGTGTGTTTCTGTAACTGGTAGTTGAATGTGTGTTGCATTGAAATGCTAACATTTGTCACTGTTTTTTTTTGGGGGGGGGGGGTTGTTGTGGGTTTTTTCAAACCGTAACTTGACATCCATGTCAGTTCCTCGACGTCATTGCCAATGCATTGTGCATCGCTGGTAAAAATTGATGGAATGTAGAGAGTAACAGCTATATACTAGTATCTATCGTAAGAAAATTGTTGGAGTTGGGAAACGCTAAGGGAAAAGTATGGCAACCTCTTCCCAGAACAATTATATACATAAGGGGATCGGCCTTGGCTTTGATCGGATTCACCAATCACGTACTTTTTCACTAATACTGACTGATAGGTCACTGATCAGACGGAGTGTCCCTCGTATGCGGAGCTTGCAGATACGAGTGTGTATCTGTGTTTGACTGTGTTCCCAAAATGTAAGAGTTTTCTTAATGTCTTATCTAGGTGGAGTTTGCATTCACCGTGTGGCGAAGCTTTCCGGATCGCATCGTTGGGTACCCAGCTCGCAGTCACTTCTGGGATAGCAACAAGGAGCGTTGGGGCTACACCTCCAAATGGACCAACGACTACTCCATGGTGCTGACTGGAGCTGCCATCTATCATAAGTACTTAAGTCCTGCTGTCACCACGCCAACTCTTTTTGACACTGTTGTAGTCTACTCAATCCCATACTTGTTGTCTCACTGTCCTCAGATACTACCACTACCTGTATACAACATACCTTCCAGCCAGTCTAAAGACCATGGTGAACCAGATGTCGAACTGTGAGGATATTCTGATGAACTTTCTTGTGTCCTCGGTCTCGAAGATGCCCCCGATCAAGGTCACGCAGAAGAAACAATACAAGGAAACCATGATGGCTCAGGTGAGTGACGCCCCCCAGTGTGGACCAAACATTTGCTCATGTGTGATATTTTTACAAGGTGGCATGAAGGATCCTAATATGTGACTGTCTGTTAATCTTGCCAGAGCTCCCGGGCTTCTCGCTGGGCTGACCCGGACCATTTTGCGCAGCGTCAGACTTGCATGAACAAGTTTGCCAACTGGTTTGGCACCATGCCACTGGTTCATTCTCAGATGAGACTCGACCCGGTCCTCTTTAAAGACCAGGTGTCCATCCTGAGAAAGAAGTACAGGGACATTGAGAGGGTATAACCCTCCAGCGCCCCCCTTGCTCTCTGGACATGACTGAGAGAGACAGAGGGCGAGTGAGGGGCTGTCCATTTCTTATGTTTCTTCAATGGATCAAGAGAGAAGCAAGTACGGGTAAGAAGAGTGACAAGGACAGATTTAGCGGAAGGCGGCACACACACTTCACCTCATCTCCTCTGTATGGCATCTTTTGTTTGTCCTGTCAAGTTTTGGGCACTAGCAGATTGTGCAGCTCCATCTCTAATTTTAGGCACTGTAGGCCTAAAACTGACTGACCTTGAAGTGGAATTGCCAAAGTCCTGGAATTGGATTTCTAATGGTATTTATTTATTTTTTTAATTGCCCTAAATGGTAACAAACCACTGCAGCCCTGTGAAACTGTTCCCCTCAGTATACTATGCACACGTTCATGGACGTTTTGCTGATGATATAATAATAGTCAGCAATATTCTAGATTCTTCTATATTCTAGAGAATGCCGAGTATAACACTATTTTGGATGTGTTTTTACAGTTCTGGTGTTTTTTAATCACAATGCTGCTCCTACTGTTTCACAAGCGGTGGCTGGGTAGGTGGGGAGAGCAATGACATGCCCTTCTCTGCATTTAGGGTAAATTTATGCTCAGTGCCTCAACATTAGTCTTTTGATTTGCAAATCTGAATAAAAAGATGTGATCCAAACTATGTGTCTAGCTTGTATTTTCCTCGTAATCGGTGATTGTCTGTTTGACTCCTATTAAAGTTCCTATTTATGAAAGTGGAAACATAACAGAATTGAACGTAAGCAACAGACCTAAACGTTTCCCTTGTTTAACAGCAGAAACGGAAAGTATGTGAATGAGAAAACTTTCAATAGGAATTCAGCGCTATTAAAATGCTGTACCGATGCACAGAGAGCCAAGCTCGGACTCTCCATCTAGCTTTTACTGTAGCGTACGTTATGCCCCTCGGCTAGTCAACCTGGCTGTGGCCTCGCTCCAACCCATCAACAGCTAATTAGGCAATCAGCTGTATTCCATAGGTGTGATTTACTGAGCAATCAAATTAATTTCGATGTCAACATCCAAGTGAGATGTTAGTGTTCTGACAAGTGTTGGACATGTTACTTTCAAAAAGTCTTTAGTTAAAGTGATACATTACTTTGTACAAAACAGTGTCTGACATCGATCAAGTCTTGACTGTGCTGGTACAGTTGTGTCCAGTGATATATTTGTAATGGGGCCTTCTTCATACGGTTTTATTCACCAATGGTGCTCAAGATGATTGGCTGTCATCTGTCAGATTTTAAAATGTTTCAAAAGTTTGTATCTATGCAGCAAAAAAGAACTTGATCACAGTAGTTTCCTCCCTCCCACCAAGAAAGACGTACAAGCCAAAGTGTCTCACGAAAAAAAAACTCAGTTCTGTGCAGCAATGCAATATTCAGTGTTGACAGTAATGTATTCTTTTTAATGAGTAAATCAGATCTGTACCATGGCATGCGTGTTTTTGGAATGTGGAAGGAAACCGGAGTGTGCAGAGAAAACCCATGCAGGCACCAGGACAACATAAAACCCCCACACAGGAAGGCTGGAGCCAGAATCGAACCCTGCACCTCTGCACTGTGAGGCAGATGAGCTAACCAGTCGCCCTATTATGATTGCACAAGTTTTAAATTATCCATCCATCCATCAATCTATTTTCTGAACCGCTTTATCCTCACAAGGGTCGCGGGGCGTGCTGGAGCCTATCCCAGCCATCTTCGGGCAGTAGGGCGGGGGACACACTGAACTGGTTGCCAGCCAATCGCAGGGCACACAGAGACGAACAACCATCCACGCTCACACTCACACCTAGGGACAATTTTGAGTGTTCAATCAGCCTGCCATGCATGTTTTTGGAAAGTGGGAGGAAACGGGAGTACCCGGAGAAAACACACGTAGGCCCAGGGAGACCATGCAAACTCCACACAGGAAGGCCGGAGCTGGGATCGAACCCACCTCTGCACTGTGAGGTCGACGCGCTAACTACTGGACCATTGGGCCGCCCGTCTTAAATTATAATTCAGTTAATTAGGATTGATTTCCAAATAGTTCTCGAGATACCAAAGCAATTAAAGACATCTTCATTTTTATCACCCTCTCACAACAGCTGTAAGAAAGCAGTTTACAGAACATTTCACAAAATACCAAAAATAATACAAGAGGACTCATAACATAAAACATTGACAATAATACTATTGACTACAAATGACGTTCCGAAGTTAAATGAATCAGATCCTGATGGCGCTTTTTTTTTCCATCCAAAAATGTTTTGCGCTTAAAGGGTACTTGGCTGAATTTTTTTTTTTTACAGGGAGTACATAATTGAAAAAAGGTTGAGAACCACTGCCCGAGTTGTTTCCAATCCCAAATCATCCTCAATCTCCAGGTCAAGCATTGTCACTGAACTGTCAGTTTATCCAATTTATTCAAACATATATAGGATATACTGGATATACTTTGGGGTAAGAGGAGGAGGAGGAGGAAGAGGAGCCTACTACAGTAATCACAGCACCCTCAAACTCAAAGCACTAGATACAGTACAATGCAATACATCATGATTTATATAGTGCTTTCACAACAGCTGCAGCTGTATACAGTACAATGCAATACATCATGATTTATATAGTGCTTTCACAACAGCTGCAGCTGTAATAAAGCGCTTTACAAAACAGTTAACATAAAATAACAAAATAATATAACACGACACATAACATAAAACACGGACAGTCATGCAATCTAATCCATTTCAATTCCAAGCGGTGACTCTCAGTTCCAAATACCCATCCAAGCTCCGCGCCGACGCTCTTCTCTCCTCAGTCTCGGCTGCAGAACCTATTCATCCAACTGCATCAGTGCACAATTTCCAACAGCGCCGACATTTCTGCTTAAGTAAACAGTGCTGTGAAAAATGCTGCCAATGACAGGCGGACAAAACACAGGAGCTGTCCAGCGGCGACAGTCAAATAGCGCCGACATTCCTCCCAATGAAAATCAGTGCTGGTACACACGCGTGGCCGAGAAGGCGCAACCGCAGCATAGATGCTTCTCCTTTGATGGATGTCGTGGCCAAAAATGCTGAAAACAGTCCATATCCGGTCCACATGAAGTAAGAACAAACACCATGTGAAAAAAAAAAAAAAAAGCAAAGCTCTTGAAGGGCACTGCCGACTGCTGCCAACTAAGGCGCCATCTTGGATCTTCTCTAGATGACCATTTTCATACAGTATGTCCAATTTCTGGCATGCTCCATCTAACGACAAAAATCACTTTCCGCTTGACTAACCCATCTTCTCGAGACGTGCCTATGTGCACTTTGATCAGCGGCCGCTCACACACACAAACAGGTGACTGACGGTCATTCACTCACTACACAACTCCCATTCCAGAACAGACAAAACAATTTTGTCATGCCCACAGGATTCAATGAACGCTAACCTTCTGCAACCTACAGCTCCTCCTCACTAGCACATGTTAATTTTTCCCAAAACTTCCATCTCAAAATCCTATTAAATTTAGCAGATTAGATGACATTCATTTTTAATCCTTTGCTCAAAATAATTCCACTCTCTTACCAACTCACACTTTTCCTGTTTAATTAAAAATAAATACCAAGTTGTTTTTCATTTTCATCATGGCCTGCATATCTGTGTACTTTAAGAACATGATCTAATTCCACACTTGGTTTGCTTCTTCATCACACAACATTTTCTGCATTACTACTTCATGTTGGACTGTACTTTGAAGTTTTACTGAGTAATGTCTTTCCCACTACAGTAGTTTCATTGCATGTCCCTTCTTGGTGCCTAATATTCCTATTTTTTTAATTCCATCACCCCACTTAATTTATCAAGAGTCAATTACCCCAAACAAAATAGTAACAAAGATAAATAAAACATTACAAATATCCCTGTCATCCTATTCCTTCCTTAATCGTTACTGAAATCCAATTCCTCCATTGTTATGCTTTTTGTTGCCAGCCAATAAGTCATTTTTCCTCACCCAGAACAATTTATGTCCTCTTCTGTTTTATTGTGGGGACACAAGTATTTAAATCTTTTTTTTATGTCTTTGCTAAAGATCACTGCTACTGTCACATATTATCCAATGTCTATCAAAAATATAAAACTCATTCTGTGTTTTACACGATCACGAAGACTCTCAATCTGTACTTTGGTGTTAGTGTCAATTACTGGTAACATTGAAAAGGCCTAATTCATAAATCATTCTACATAAACAACCCAATCATGCCTTTTCCTGAATCAATCCACACATCCAGCTAAATTTTGGGAAACCTTCCTCAAAATCCACACTTATCGCTCAAAGTAAAAAAAAAAAAAAATGTCATCATGAAACAACAGAAAATATTCAACAAAATGTTCTAATTAAAAGATTTCATCAGGTTAGTAATTTTAAGACAACGTATGGGAGGACAACATTAAAAACACTACAAAAGGCACCAATTGTGGAATAAGTTAAAATGTTCTGAATATTAAATCACACTCACTTTTTAAATCCCAAATTAAGCAGGCGAACAAGCTCGAGTAGAAGCACCTGTGGCTAAAGACAAAACTGCAGGGTTTACTTTCTGGACCTGGATTTGACACCTCTGTCAGATTGGAGGATTTGCATTTTGGCCGTCAACATCTTCTCCGGTATTTGTGTGGATGCATGTTTTCAACCGTGATTCTCAAATGTCTCAAATTTTCTGATGTGCTTATCCTCACAAGGGTCACTGGTGTGCTGGAACCTATCCCAGATGTCTTCGGGCAAGATGCGGGGGACACCCTGAACCGGTTGCCAATCGCAGAGCGCACATAGACGAACAACCATTCACGCTCACAATCACACCTAGGGACAGTTTTGAGCGTTCAATCAACCTGCCATGCATGTCTTTGGAATGTGGGAGAAAACCCACGTAGGCCCAGGGAGACCATGCAAAATCATCAGGGCTGGAATTGAACCCACGACCTCTGCACCAGTCGCCCACCGTGCTGCCCTCAGGTGAAACATGTCAGTTTATTTGCCTCTTCTTGGGTTACTGTCCTTCCAGAGCTCCTTGCAAGTCACCCTGAGAAACAATTAATCACATGTAACAGATGTTCCTCACCATATTCATGGCCATGTTCCTGTGAGGAAATTGTGCTTCTACCCGTAGGCACAACAGAAGACATAGTTTGTTCAAAGTGTGTATAGTGGCTGGAGTCACTCTGCTGCTGTTCTCAAGGCTGTAAGAGGAGTTATGGCAAACCGGAACCAGTTCAGGATCAGCTGTCGAGTATTATATTCACATACTGGGCTAAAAACAAATAATGCTATCCGTATGCTAACAGACGGAATTTTCACTTTCCCGCAATTAATATCAGACTATTTAGTATCCTATGTTACTTTCACATAACTACTATATTTATCAGACAGTTTTCTTTCCCCTCTGATTTAAGAGCTCTGCAAAACATAGAAGGGAAGATTTTATTTTCTGCGATGGTAGGTTGTCCTTGGGTGACAACCTACCTGATGGATGACAGTTAAATTGACACCAGATGCCAAAAAGCTGTAATCACCCGTTTCCCAGGCTGTGTTGAGCATGCCTCAATTATTTAGGAGCAGATCCAGAATGCAAAGAGGGAGAAGAAAGATTTGCATGTGGTACGGCTCAATCTG